CTTGATCCTAATACTGCTGGCCTGAGCAAACAAGCTTGGATGTACCTTCAGGACCATAACCTAAGAAACGGTGGCCTCCCCACTTTGGACCAAGTTCTTAACAGAAAGACTTTTGCTCCCCTCTCTCTCCGCGATTTTGCCGTCCACTGCTCCGTCCGCCAGCCCGAAGCCCACAAATGGCTCGAGTTCTACATGGCTGCCACCACCCACAAAAAAATGTGCCTTTCCTACCTTAGCTCTAGAAATGTCCGCTCCCTCCACAAAAAACACTCTGAAAAATCCACCCAAAACTCAAACTCCTCCGACCACAGGAAAACCAGATCAAAGAAAAAGAAAACTACTTCTGGCCGCTCTCGTGATAGAGACCGAATCCAAATCCAATCCGCCACTGAATCGATCTTCATGCGCTACTTTAGAGCTGCTTTAATCCCTAATGCTTCAAATGCTGCTAACCGCCAACCCCTAACCAACCAAACCCCTCTCGATTACGTGCCTTACTCTTGGAACGAGCAATACAAATCTTCCCCCTACGACCCCCGTTTCGATGCAAATGCAAAAACAAGGAACAGCTTTATCTCTAATCTCAACACTCTCCGTATCGCCATGAAACAGCCAATCGAACTTGTTTCCCATGCACTTGTTGTCGGAAGGAAAAGCCCCCACTCTCTACTTGCTTTTGGTTCCATGGATCCCGACACTCGTATCATCCATGTTCCTGACTCCAAAACAAATAATTACTCCAAATCCGGCATTAAACGCCAAACTATTTACTACATCCCCTGGCCCCCTGAAATCCTCTCGAAAATCGAAATCCAACTCTCTAGAGCCGATGCCGCTCTTGATCCTAACCTCTTCAGCGAAGCCATTCTCTACGCATACGAAATCCTCAACGTGTACTATTTTTCTGTCTTTTTAAAAGATGCCACTACAAGGAACTGCTCCTACGGTCACAGCGTCTTTCGACTTCTCTTTGGAGTCCTCCTTCTCCTCACTTTTGGTTTTACTCTACCGATTACTCTGATTCTTCTAGATTACTCGCCGAAGGCTCTAAGGCTCACGTGTCTCGCCCCCCAGCTCTTTGGATGGTGGAACCTCGTTGTTGGCTTCAGCGGTGCTGATATCCTCTTCTCATCTTTCTCTCTCTATCAATCCCCAATGCCGAGTTATCTCGTTGGGAAAACTAGCATAATGAAAATGTGGTTTAAAACTAGAAAAAGTATTGACCTTACTGCAACTAAAATGGTTCGAGCTCGTAGCATTAAAATGTTCCTCCTCTCTTTAGCACTTACCGCCATTTGCGTACTTGTTCTCAGTCTAGTCCCTGGAACCAGATTATACACCTAAATCAAAAATCCCTTTTTGTATTTCTCTAATTTATTAAAGATTTTTCCTTTTTCCTTTTTCCCTCCTTTCATGTTTTTTCGTGTTTATACGCTTCCCCTCTTCCCCCATCCCTCTCTCTCCTTACCTTCATTCCTAACCCTAAACTTTTTTTCTAACAAAAAAATATATCTTTTGAATCTCACTCCTTTTCTGTATAAAACAAAACATAAAGTACCTATTCTTTTCTTTCCATTATTGATTTATTAAAAATTTAAATTTTTAAAAAAAAAAAAAAGATATTGGAACATTAGAGATTCCCATTCACGTTTTAAAACAATTTGCTTGTA